TAGTCTTGTTACGTAAGACCCGACATCACAAGTCGCACATCACACACGTAAACTCTGCGTCGCTTCCTTTTCAAACCGTGCGCAAAATCATTTAACATACCACACACGTTCCTGTCGTCACGCATGTCTCGCTCACGTACCGCACGTCGCATCGAATCGCAAAGCGCATTAGCCAACTATCAACTTCTTTAAAAACGTGATAGTCACATGTTCACTTTTTAAAAGAACACTAAGGTGATTTGCACTAGATAGGTTGTTGGCTGGTTCTGATGTTGGGACTTGTGCTGATAATGAAACTTTAATCTAGGATAGTGCTGATAGCGAGATTTGCTCCACTACGGACGGCGCAGATTGGCGCTAATAATGACACATGACTTGTAACGGGGCACCCTGAAGCTTGTACTGGTGACAGTACAAGCTACTTATTCTGATGACAGAATAAGGCGGTGCCTCGTAACTTCACGTACACTCGTACGTGCAGAGGAAGACGGTAAGAAGAAGCGAGTACTTGGTTAACGTAAAAAGTAGAACTGTATTTATAATAGTTAATGTCTGCAATAAATCACTATTTATCTTCATCTAACTATGTCTAAATACAAATGTGTAAATCAGTTATCTGCTCACCACTCATTGCATGCGTCTGTCGTGGCGCGTCTTCGTTGGTTGATATAATGGCCTATATCAACCAATTAGGAACTACTTGTAAGTGCTACAGAATATTTGTCCTTATGACAATATTCTGAGAATATAACTCTTATAGTTATATTCTATTAACAATTTCTTATAAATTGTTATGTAACGATTCACCCCGTTACATCACCCCCCTTAACCATCAGTCACTTTAGTGACTGATTGACTAAATGGATACTCGTCCCAAATCATTTGGGACAGGGTTTGCACTTGTTGGTCCGCGTCCACTTTCCAACATCTCATCGCATGGTTAACAAGCCCATGCGATGCGCGAGCAAGGCCGCCGAGAGCGCGTCTGCACGTCTCTGTGCGGACGCCGAAGCAGAAACAACAGCAACTAATGTCCCATCGGTTGCTGAAGCGACTCAGCCTGTGTCACTTGGTGATGCAGGCGCTGGTCATGAAGACACTCGTGTCTTCACAGAGTACGAGCTCGGTGTCTCGTACTCTCCTGATACGGATGACGGATCCGTATCGACGGCGATCGAATCTAAGCCGCCAGCCAAGCGTGGCATGGACGATGCTTTGCGTCGCAGCATCTTTGGTTCATCTGATGAATCAGATGAACCATCGCCGAAGCGAAGGCGCTCGAGGTCGCGAGACTCGGGCGCTAATAGTGGTGTCGGTTCTCCAATGGACACCACTTCACAGCGAGGTGCCAGTACTTCTGTCGGCACGTCGCAGGAAGAGCGGGACCGTAATGTGTTGCGTCTCGCTCCAGAAAAGAAGGCATGGATGCCTCCGAAATCCGTCATGGATCACTGGTCGGCGACGACGAGTGATCGTTATCGAACACGATTGTTCGATTCGTCAAGGATCCATCACCTTGACCTCAGCGCGAAAAACTATCGCGCTGAACACGAATTCTTCATCGATGCTTTCTTTAGACATCGATGGTACAGTGGGAATCACAAACGGGATGGTCCCTCACTGCTTCAGGCGTGGAACGCCTACATCCATAACCTCGAGGATGTAGGTCGTGACGCTTGGAACGACAAACTTATCAAAGCTCGTGATAAGTTTGAAAAGCGAACCCCGACAGGTGCACGCTACAAGCTGCATCGTCTGTCAAGGGAGAAAGGATTACCATGCCTCTCTTGGGGAGACTCGTGCCCATGTTGTGTGAACAACTCTGCATGAGCACCTAAGGAGGCTTACCTCCTTACCAGCCCGTGGTGGCGCGTACGTGTCTCTACTGAGATGTACGAAGGGATTGACAACCTGAAATCCCTTTACGACCGTGCCGGGAAGACTTTCTCCGGCGTTCCTTCTGCGGCATAGGATGTGCTGAGTCGTACTGCTCAACCAGACCCAGTACGTCAACCATCAGTTGGGAGCGGGGCTCCCAAGAATCCCAGGACGGGGGATAGCCGCGCCACCGGACGAGATAACTCGTCCGACGTCCGTTCACGTCGCGGTGGTTCAACAGCTGCTCAACTAGATAGCGCTGGCCACCGCGAGAGTCCTCTAATGGAGGTGGAGGAGGAGGAAAGACGCTCTCCACACGATCATGTGGATCGGTGTGTTCCTGAGAGCTTCTTTGATCGCGTAACGCAAGGGTTACACGACGATCTCGAGCATGAGCGGAAGAGGCGTCTCCAAATGGTGGACACTGCCTCGAAGCATCGAGCTGAGTTTGCCTTTGCTCAGCTCGAGAACGAGAGATCTCTGACATCTCTTCGTGACGAGCTAAGGGTAGCTCGTGGGATTGTTGATCGGTCTCGGGCTGAGATAACTGCTCTTCAGACCCTTGTTGATACCCACCATCGGGAGCACAAGGCTCTTTGCGAGATGCTTGAGCGCAAGGGCGTTCTTCATCGGAAGAAGCAGCGTACTGATGGTACGGCTTAAGCCGACCAACGTAAAACGTGGGATGCGTTCGCATCTTACGTGGTAACTCGATCGTGTATGCATTGCCTAGGCGGTGCAATACACGAAATGGGCCAATGTACTTGGGTAGTAGTTTACTGATACCCAAGTTAGTCACTACATGCTTTGGTAGATTAACCGTAGACAGTAGGACTAAGTCACCTTTACTAAATAAAAGAGTCTTTGCCCTTCCATTCTTGTCAGCGTTTTGCTTTTGCTTATCCACCGCTTCGGCGATGGAGTCTTGCACAAAACGGACTACCGTTTCACGAGCCAGTATGAAATCATCTGATGACTCGTTAGCTTCAGTGTGCTGTGAGCGCACTGCAGCAACAACAACCTTTTCTTCAGTGAGGGCTTCCGCACTCTCACTGGGATCATTGTCTTCAGTGAGGGCTTCCGCACTCTCACTGGCATCATCTTCTTCGATATCGATGTTATCGATATCGGCATCAAACGCAATGACTTCTTCGTCAGAGCGTGATGAGCGTGAACCAAATCGGTTTTTGCTCGCGCGAGTCCCTCCCCCCCTTAAACCAGAGTTACACTCTAGTAAGGTGGGTACACGCGGATGGCGCAAGCCATTCACGTAAAACGGTGTATGTGTCGTGGACGCATGCACCGAGTTGTTGATGGCAAACTCTACCATAGGCAAAAACTCACTCCAACTCTTAAAGGAGTGTACGTATCCTCGAAGTATCTCTTCAAGGACACGATTGGCACGTTCCGTCTGACCATCTGACTCTGGATGATCAGATGTTGACATCTTCAAGCGCGTTCCGAGTGATTTGAACACGGAACGCCAGAAATCAGCAGTGAATCGTGGATCTCTGTCTGACACGAGTTCACGGGGCAACCCATGAAGTCGGAAGATGGTGTCAATAAAGACACAAGCACAGCCACTTGCCGTGATTGTCTCTGGTACAGCCACAAGGTGTACCATTTTGCTGAATCTGTCAACAAATACGAGAATACCCGTATTCCCGCGTGCGTCTTTGGGTAACCCGAAGACGAAATCCATTGAGATGGATTCCCAGCACTCAGCCGGAACCGGTAGAGGCTGTAAAGGTGCACGCAGTGAAGGACTTGACTTCACTCGTTGACAGACTTCGCATGCGCGAACATACTTTCGCACAAACTGATACTGGCGGGGCCAGTAAAAGTCTCGACTTACCGTGAGATATGTTTTCTCTCGGCCACGATGTCCTCCTATAGGAGCATCGTGATACTCGAACATGATCCGCAAACGCAGAACAGTATCATTTGGAATGACAACACGTGGTGTGTCACCAGAAACGGCTGGATACAGTAAACCGTTACGAGTAGTGTATCGATCTGATGCAGATCGATACGCAGGCGACAATCGTTTCAACGATTCTCGGGATGGTTGGGAGAGATGTGTCAACAACTTCACAATCTCACCATCTTGGGCGTATGCCCGCCTCACATCATCATACAACGTTGTAGATGGGACTGAGGACGTCATAACCGCAACAGTGACTGTCTCACTGTTGGGTTTCGCGACTGTTTCAAAGTCGGGACGACGTGAGAGTGCATCAGCGACGACATTAAGTCGTCATGGTTTGTACTCAGCCGTAAAATTGTATTCCGCAAAGAATGACAACCACCGCGCCATTCGTTGTGAAAGGTGCGGGCTGTTCACTGCCGTGCGTAATGACGCATGGTCAGTGTAAACAATGAAGGGTCTATCTCCTAATAGATAGACTCTGAACTTCGCGAGTGCATACTTCATGGCAAGGAGTTTCTTGTCATGCACTGGATAATTCCGCTCAGCTGGTTGCAGCTGACGCGACTGATAGCAGACGACGCGTTCAACGCCTTCAAGATCGTACTGCATTAATGCACAGCCGATTGCGAAATCGCTGGCATCACAGACGACATGAAATGGCCTGTCCTGATCGGCTATTGCTAGGACTGGGGATTGTATCAAGCTCTGCTTGATACCCTCAAAGGAGGTTGACATTCAGGTTCCATAACCACCTCTCGTTCTTTTCAACAAACGAGAGAGGTGCACAGTCATCTCGGCGTAATTGCGTGAATACTTATGCAAATACGCCGCTAGCCCAAGGAATTTTCGAAGACCTTTGACATCAACCGGCACAGGCCAGTCGGTGATCGCCTTGATCTTTTCGGGATCAGGACGTACACCGTTCTTACCAACGATGCACCCAAGAAGTGGTATTTCGCTTGCTGCAAATATACACTTCTTGAGGTTAGCATACAATTGATGCTTTCGCATGATTGTAAGAACTTGTCGGACGTGGTACCTGTGAACCTCAACGTCCGACTTTCCATCCATAGCCCGACTATGGATGAATACGTCATCGAAATAACTCGGCGCGAATTCTCGTACTGGTCTCAACAGATGTGATACACATCTGTTGAACGTGGCAGGGCATTACTAAGCCCTTGTGGCATTACTAGCCATTCCCAGAGCATGCCGCTAGGGTGCTAACTGCGGTATAGGGTATATCCCGTTCCCGCATAAGGATTTGATAGAAGCCATCCATCAAATCCATGGACGAAAAGATGGTACTCTTTGACATACCATCAATGATTACGTCCTTCCTCGGTATCGGCGTCTGAGCCGGTACCGTTGCAGCGTTCAATTTGTTGAACGCGTGCACTATCCGCCACCCTCCTGTTGCTTTTCGCACACAGAAGGTCGGAGAGCTATGTGGGGAAGTTGATTCCCTCACATGGCCCGCAGCTAAACGATCGGCAAAGAACTTGTCGATCGCAAGTACTTGTTCACGAGGCAGTGGCCACTGCTTCATGACACAGTACTTCGAGCCTGGTTTAAGCTCGACCTCGTGTCGAATACCTTTATCCTTCGGTAATTCGCACGGAACAGTTTCAGGGAATACATCCTTGAATTCAACCAAATCTTCATAGAGAGGATTTGTCTTGAGCGATTCCCATGATTGGGAGTCATATCGCTCAATTCGTGTCTTTTCATCTAGGACACTCTCGTCCATAGATGAACTACTGAGAACTCTCTCGTTCTCAGTGAACACTGTTGCTGACCTTATGTCGGTTACACACTCGTCGTCAGCGACGAGTATGCAGATCTGCTTGACTTTGCCACTACGCAGATCACGCAAGAACCTTTTATGTTCGAGCGTTGGCAACTGAGTGATCTCCGAAGTTAACTTCGGAGGCGCAATCAGATCAAGTGTATAAGCGCCTACACTTGATCCGTAGTTGACTATGACATTCAATGTCTCTGTCATTTCCTGGGGACTTATTCCCTCAGGCTTCGAAGGACTTATTCCTTCGTCTTCCCGGGGACTTATTCCCGCGGGTTTAGGGAAACTTATTTCCACCGTATTTGTAATCTTGGGACTTATTCCCTTTACTTCCTCTAGCTGGGGTTGCGCAACCACAGCGAGATCCTCTACGAAAGACTCTCCAGTCGATCTAGGATTATCGTTTCGCTTAACCTGAGCGATCGATTGTTTCTCTTCTAGATGTTCCCCGCTAGGGATACATCTTTGTCCCAGTCCACCCGACTTATTCGAGTGGTGGACCTTCGGCGCAGCCTGTGTTTCCTCACAGCCGCCGGAACTTTGCTCCGAAGTGTAACCGTTTGGTACACTAAGGTTTTGTGCAGTCGTACTAACGACCGTACCACAAGTGAGGCCATCGCACTCACTCGTAGTACATCCACACGCTTGTGGACGCTCCAAAACGTTCATCAGATGGCCATCTGATGAACAAGCGGCAGGCATCGTTACTGTCCGATGTTGCCAGTCTACCCGTGGTTCGTACCTTCTGAGCCACGGTATTCCAAGGATGACATCAAATTTGTCATCCAAATCCAATAAGATAAAGTCATCGTCATATTGGGTATCTTCTAGCGTATAGTGGATCTTCACTATACGCTTCATGACGGTTACGGATGCGCCTGTCGCAAGACGTACCGTCATCCTCGTAGGAGGTGTGTCACATTCACTGAACTTAAAGTGACCATCTTCTAGCGATCGGCGTCGCACAAAGTTGTTGGACGCCCCACAATCGACTAGAGCTCGAAGGGACAACTTATTTGTCACTTCGAGTTTCAAGGTAATGAGTGAGATCTCATTACCTAGAGCAGCAACGCACAACGTTTTTGCGTTGGGAGCAACCTTCATCAAGAGGCCTACAAATTCTCTTGACGTTGCTGGACCAGTAGGGTGCTCCGCACCTACTGATCCTGTCCGTTTTTTGACGGTCCATCCCGTTGTTGCGTCTATGCACCAACAGCGGACCCGCGTCCCTGCCCCTCTCTCATGGGTGGACGGTCACTACGCCCAGTGTCGCGAGACACTGGACGAGGGGCACTACACTCGTAAGCGTAGTGTCCTGTCTTATGACATCTGTTGCATCTCTGCAACTTCTTGTAGTCTGTAGAGCGAGCCTTCTCGCTCTCTACATAACAGAGTTCCATCGGCTCTGGACCTCCGTTGTCATATCGTCTCGGTTGACGATATGATGTCGAGCTGGCGCGAGCCTGTCTCAGACTGAAGTCTTCCTGCTCCGCAATGGAAATGGCTTGTTCTAGTGAATCTAGTTCAAGCCGGAACAGGTGAGTCTTGACGGGACCATCCGCAAGACCCTGCATGAACACCGAAACCAACGTGTGTTCATCCACCGGATTGGAACTTATACAACTCGTGAGATGTCGTATATGTTGCGCGTAAGCGTGCACATCACGCTTACCCTGCTTGAGCTTCAAAAGTTCAGTTCGATCTCTGAACTCAGCTCTAGGCGGTTCAAACGTTTGTCTGAGCCGCGACTTGAAGACTTCCAACGACCCAAACGCATATGGGTCGTGCAACTTGAGCCCCAGTGCCCAAGTCTTGGCACGTCCTGCCAGATTTGATTGGGCAAATGCAACTTGCATATCCCCGTCGTCGATGCGACGCGCCCTTATGGCGTCATCCAATTCGACGAACCATCTCAAGAGGGAGTCTTCTTCGACCCCTCTATACTTGGAGATGTCAATCTTCAAAGTCTCGGGTCGACGCGAGTGCATCGACCCACCAGCAGCAGCCTGCTGCTGTCTCAACAGTTCAAACTGTTACGCACCCTGTTCCCTCAACAGCTCTACTTGTTGAGAACCTTGTTGGTGAAGCAAGGCTACTTTCTCGCGTTCAGCGTCAAGTTCATTTTGAATGAACTTGGCGATAGTATGTTGGGCATCTCTATTGAGAGCCTCTAGCATGACGCTAACAGCATGGATGCCCATGGTCGAACCCATTCGTTCAACCGCATCCCATTCGACATCGCTCAAATGGGAGTAGCCGTCACGCGTAGCGTGAAAGCTTTGGTCATCTTCATCATCCAACATATTCATGTTGGATGTGAACGCGGTCCTTGGACGGACTACGAAGTGCTACCAGGTGTAACGGGGCACCCTGAAGCTTGTACTGGTGACAGTACAAGCTACTTATTCTGATGACAGAATAAGGCGGTGCCTCGTAACTTCACGTACACTCGTACGTGCAGAGGAAGACGGTAAGAAGAAGCGAGTACTTGGTTAAAGTAAAAGTAGAACTGTATTTATAATAGTTAATGTCTGCAATAAATCACTATTTATCTTCATCTAACTATGTCTAAATACAAATGTGTAAATCAGTTATCTGCTCACCACTCATTGCGTGCGTCTGTCGTGGCGCGTCTTCGTTGGTTGATATAATGGCCTATATCAACCAATTAGGAACTACTTGTAAGTGCTACAGAATATTTGTCCTTATGACAATATCCTGAGAATATAACTCTTATAGTTATATTCTATTAACAATTTCTTATAAATTGTTATGTAACGATTCACCCCGTTACATGACTAGCCCATATTAAACAAATGTTTTGAATACCTCAACATTCAAGCCGGCAAAGTTTCCGTCCAGCGATCGTTGCGACTTAAGCTGAGTTCAGCTCGTCCCTTACATATCGTCTGATATTTCCATGACTTCAAAGGTGCCTTCGTTCTTGCATCTTGAACCTCTTTGCTGGAGAATCGATCTGTGACGATAATCGCGTCGGATATTCCACTTGCATGAACAAACTTAGATTAGTAGGCGAAAAGTATTTTGGGTGAAAGCGCCTACAAAGAGGTTACAAGCCCTCGTAAAGTAGCGATATTTACATAGAAGGAACCGCGATATACACAGGCACGGGTGGTGTTGCTGGTTCCCCTTTTTAAGTCGTCAGAGATGCTGACAGAGAATATGGCGCCGGGACTCAATGTTCAGTAATTGTTTTGTGACGACGTACAAAAATGTAGTAAGTCGTTTACTACGGTAATCAATGCACAATCTGGTGTGTACCCCATTCTTCTTCACGATGATCACTATTGGGCTAGCCCACGGCGATGTAGACAATTAAAAATTCTTCACTGGCAGTAGACCCTTGATTAGGTCGGCCAACTTTTCTTTGAACAGAGGGGCTACCTTTAGCACGCGCTATGCAATCGGTCTTGCATTTCTTACGTCGACATCGCATATAGGCAGCACTGGGTCTGGTAGTCTGCAACGATCTGCGCAAGGTTTAATACTAGACCATATCTAAGGCCACGTTGCCGTCATACGTCAGCTGCGGTACACCCGATTCGAGCGTTGCGATTATGTCGATACACAAGGAATCATTAGTGATCCCAAGGTTAAAGATTACAGACATGTTGGTATGTACAGAACAACGCACGACGTTCGTAGCAGCTAATGTGAATTGCACGTTGATTGCATTAGTTATAGACATTTGCGTGGACATGACGATGCTGCTGATTGAATACCCCTTTCGACAACTGCAACGGATACGATAAAATTGACATGGCAGAGGTCATGATTGTGAATCGAAGACTTGACAGGTATATGGACAGTGGTATATATGAGTAGGTGGCATCAACAATGTTGCGAGACCAAGACGGGAAAGTGAGCAGTGTATTTTGAAGCCAGTGTTTGCGTTATGTGACCACTAAAACGCAAGTCGCGGGACTGCTCGAGCAGGATCTAGATTGAGGAGGCCGAGCTCGTATTTTATCGTCAAAGAGGGTCGATTAAATGGGCAGCTGATCGATAGTGGTGCGCAAACAATTTGAATTCGCGTTGCGACGACACGTTTGCCTCTGGAAGTAGACCCAGAGGAGAACGAGATAATTGTCGCAGTCAGAAGTGGTATGTGCAGCTGCGTTGAGCCGCGCGCGCTGTTTGGGGTACTCAATATTTTTGCAAAACGTTGAAGAAGAAGAGGATGATATCGAGAGCTTTAGCCCTTGCGAGATGGAGCAAGATCATCTTTTCCCAAATTTGAACAATAAAATTACGGAAGCAGTCCGATGTGCCTTAAAATGCGAACATTCTGACATGTAGTAGTAGTAGTCGTAGCTGTGAACGGGTCTCGTTTTGTTCGGTCTTTTCAGCACAAGACGATAATAAATGCAAAACAACACGCTTTGAACTATCAACCCACGTTATGCGTCCGAACAAGTCCATCAAAGACGACGCTTGAGACATTATAAAAGTGCTTGTTCAGCCTACAATGCGGCACTGGGCACTCACTGACTGACACGGTTGTAAAAGCTCCGTTCGTGTGTGTGGTTTCCGTAAAAGAACGTGCTCTCAGAGCCAGTCATTTCGCCAGTCCTTCGCCATTTAATCATTTCTCGCGCCGTCATGTCGTCGCTGCGGAACGTCGTGAAGCGGCGCGAGCACAAGGAGCGCGGCCAGCTGCGCGAGCGTCGGAAGCTCGGTCTGCTCGAGAAGCACAAGGACTATGTGCAGCGTGCGCGCGACTACAACCAGAAGCAGAAGCGGCTCACGACGCTGCGTCTCAAGGCAGCGCTGCGCAATCCGGACGAGTTTAACCGCCGCATGTTGAGCACAAGAACCGAGAGCGGCGTTCACGTGTCCACGCACAATCACTTGCACCAGCTGGACTCGGAGGCGCTGCGCACGCTCAAGACGCAGGATTTGGCCTATTGCCACATGAAGCGCGCCGTTGACCTGCGCAAGGCTGAGAAGCTCAATCGCGGGCTGCATTTCGTAGACGCTGTGAAGAGGAACAAGCACACGGTTTTTGTCGACGATTCGGAGCAAGTGGATACATTTGACGTCGCACAGCACTTTGACACGGCTCCAGAGCTGGCGGACAGAGCGTTTAACCGCATTCGCAAGCGCGAGTTAAAGACAGCGGAGCTGCCGGATCTGGCAGGTGATAGGAAGCACAAGTACAAGATGCAGGTGGAGAGAGATGCCAAGTACAGGGAATTGAGAGATCGACTGGCTCGTGCGAAAAAGCTTGGACTTGTGAGCGCTAAATTGGATCTGGAACGCAAAGTGCAGGCCAAAGGGATGAAGCGGAAGGTGCGAGACGCAGAGGTTGGTCTACCCGCAGTGTATCGCTGGAAGCAGCAGCGGCAGAAGTAAAGACGAGTGGGCGGTGTGATATACGTGCACTTTATTTGGTTTGCTGCTTATCAATTTGTTTTTAATCATCAGTTGTTGAATGGGACCCTTGCGTTGTGGTACTGCTGCTTGTCACCACGGGAAGGTAGCAAGTGGTATCGCAAAACTGTATCCTGTGAGTTGGCTAGGCTTGACATGCGGTGCGGCATGGTCGGAGAACAGTCAGAAGTTTGACAATTGAGGACGGCTGGGGTAAACGTTTGAACTTTACTGTGCGCACATTATCTAGCTATCAAAGCATTGTCATTTCGCGAATTTGTAGTGATGGTTCAATTGCACCGCCGGTCGTGACTTGCTCGGAAGTTCTCTGGATGCAGGCGCGACATCTGCGATACAACGATTGTGTCTCACCTATATAGCGACACAGTGCAAGCAGCTGGCTGACTGCGGATCTGCCTTCTTTGCCCTCGTTCGTACACAGCTTTAGGCCTGATGACAGTAATAGTGATAGGAGAGTGGGGATAGCATGCATAGCATATTACAAATCAATTTATTTGTGTGAAATGGAGAAACGTCGAAATTTTGTTACAAGAGTAAACTTGACCGATTTTAGCTGTCGACGTCGCTGACGTCCATTAGACCACTTTGCAATCCCTTATTCACCTGAGCATGCTCAGCCGTTCCAAGATCGTGAGCGAACATAGATGGCAGAGATGGATGCTGTCGCCACTGTCGCCATGCTTATTTGTGGTGATACCGAGAGCGTAACTCAAATGTTAAATCTCTGACACCATCGCAATTCGAAATGACGATCACGTTGGAGGCGGTTCGTGTTCCCTCCAGTCGAAAACTTGCCTCCTCAGGTTGCACCAACGATCCCCCTGTTTGCTCAGTGATCAACAGCTGATAGGGACGTCGGACTTTTACGAGAAGTGACGAAGTGACCTTTATAACACCTTGCCGAGCACCTCAGTTCTTACACCAGAAGACTAATCCAGCCAAGCTTCTTGATCAGACTGTCGATGTTCTGCGCAACGAGGGCACTTGCGGAGTCGTCTGGCGCTAGTTCTCACGTCTTCTCGCCACTCGCGGGTGTTTATCAAGCTCGAACCTGTCGATACTGGTGCGGTATCTGGGTGCTCACTTTGATCGCCCATTCACAATATTGGGGTCTCACCATCCCAGCAATCTGATGTTACATTTAGCTAAGCAATACCAGGACTAAGTTGATACCGCCGCCCTATTTGTAGAATAGTCGATCCATACTTCTGACCAGTACGTCACTACCAAACCTCACGTCACAGAAGTCTTGACCGATCGAAGCTTGGACAGCAGCAAAAAATGAGGTCGTGCAGTATGTGGCTTTTACGCATCCGGCCACACGCTGGCGGTCTCTCATGGGCATAATGAGGCTGAAAGGATGACATGAACATAGATTGAGCGAGACTGCTACTTGACAGCTCCTCACGATTCAGTAAGTCGTATTGAGTGGAATTTGTACGCTGGAGCAGCATAGCGAAAGACGCACTTGGTTGATTGGACACCTTGCAAAAGTGACGGACTGACGTGTTTGTGTGCAGCACGAGTGCCCCTCAATCACAGAAAGATCGCTTGTCTCATCCATTACGAAACTCTCGCTGCTTCTTTATTGCGTTACGACAGACATCGCTGTCCATATCCACGTCAATATCCGAAAAGATTAAGATATCCTGTTGCACAGAAGAACATCATGATGACTTGCAACTTGACCGTCTATAAGACTGGATGAGGGAATCATTCTGCGCAAAAGCGGCTCATCACTTCAGTACTGCGGATACCGATACTACATGTAAGGGCAGAAGCATTTATGGAATACAAACGTGCTGCCATAAATGACTTATCGCAGCGTGGTATTGTCCGCTCCCATTCGTCGCACGACATGGCAGCCGAATGGTACGCACCTCGCTGTATAGTGTCACATGCTCATACTGTGTCAACCCCTTCGATATCGAATCCTGATGCCGATCCACCTGCGTGCTATGATGCACTTGTGAGGACCGCGGACCACACAACGATAGTGTAGAGCTGCTGCCCTGCAACCTTATCGTCAAGTAAGACAAGATGGAAGTGTCATCGCTAAAGCAGGAACAAATGTAGCATGCAAAGGCCAGGCTACAAAAATATAAACGAACAACCTGCAGGACAAGCGGTTCATCGGAGAGCAATTCTGGCTCGGGAGGAAGAAAAAAATCATCGTCCCACTCACTGACAGGACCCCGAGACAGCTGGTCCCACCCTTAGGAATATGCCGTTGACAGTCAGATGAAGGAAGACAATAGTGTCTCTGAACATCGTTTGATTCTTGTATGGCGATAAACAAAACAACGCGCTTCTAATCGGAAATGCGATCCCAAGGACAGCGGCTCCGGCTTTAATGCTGCATGAGCCACACTGGCGACGAAGACGAAAACACGATTGCAGTGTTTTAAAGCCCAGAGAGATGGAGCCGAACGCGTTTGTGGCAAAGAGTAAAATGCAGCGCGTAGAAGTATACTTGTGTGTACTATTTGGAGCTAATATTCGTTGAATTAGGGCAAAAACACGATCTTAGACGAGTTCATTCGTTTCGAGTGGGGTCGGCCATTCAAAAATTCCGGTAACAGGACAATATTACGACCGATCGATCAGTGAGTCTTGTATTCATTCGCGATGCAAAAGAAGCTGATCAGGATAGGCGTTTACGCAACTTTGATAAAGTCCGACACTCACACAAGCGGTTTTACTGTTAAAATATGGTCGCGAGCCTTAAGGAGCTCAGGATAAAAAGAAGGATGCAGATGTGGCGGGTCGCAAGTCCGAGACTCTAATCGCTGTGAGCGAGCTCGTAATCAAAGGATTTGATTGGATTCCGTCGACATCTGAAGAGACGCGATTGCTGACACGATGCTACAGCAGTTCATCACTCCAGTCTCGATTCCCTCTAAACGGTACACTTCAAATTGTACCGCGTGTAGTCCATCCGTGTCCGACGTGGCGTCAGGTTTGCGTCGAACGTAACGCCATCACTAACGACGTCCCATATCTGGAGTATTCTCCTCTCTCTATTGCAGAAAACTCGGTACCAATATGCACAGCCGCTTCCCACTGCCCGACGACTTTTTCCCAGAGATCCACCTCACAAGTGCCGAGATCAAGAACTATGAAGTGCAAATGCAGGACATTGTCGAGAACGCTCTGACTGAGTACGAGCTGCATGAGGCCAAAGGATCGTATCCTGTCTATCGTTCGCCATGGAGTCTCGTGAATAAGGTGGAAAGTCTCACCACGATCAAAAAGGAGATCTCCGAGAGCTCGACAACCAGCGAAGCACGTATCTTCGGCCGCATGAACGGCAACTACCGCCATTTCATTGACTTTTTCTACGCTGAGACATCGGCCGAGCTGTTCACGTGGAACCAGTTCATGTTTGGGCACGCGACGGATGCGGCCGTGCTGAAAAACATCTACACGGTAGCATCCGGGAAGAAATGCTTGTACATGGGCATCAAATGGACGTGTCTGAACCCGTCGCAGCTCGTAAAAAAGCGGGACAACTGCTACATGGAGTATCTCATATACACAAAGGATCTACGTGGCCGCGACGTAGGCATCCGCGTGACGCTTCCACTTGACATTCCAGAGTGCCCCGAGATGCCGAAAAGGTTCAAGACGAAGCGGATTCGGTTGAACACGGTATGGATCTCCAGACCTGCGGACCGCGAGTCGAATGTCACCGAGTTCTTTATGATGTCGCAGAACAATTTCAACGGCCTAGCAGTCACTGCCAGCTACTACAAGCGCATGATGAACATTCTCATCAACATGGCGGTTTTTGTGGACTCGCGACGCATTTTGGTGCTGGGAGTCATGGCACGGAAGGGCTGGGCGAAGTCGAGCTCGCGCAAAAGTTGCAGTGTGTGCTCGCGTAAGTTTGGGCCGACACGCCACCGCCACCATTGCAGACTGTGCGGAGATCTCATTTGCCGGCGCTGTGCTGTTGTTCGCGACGCCCCCAAGGACGAAAGGCCAAACAGCCCCATGACGTCAAGCAGAACGTTTGACGTCGTCAAGACAAAGTTTTGCGTTTTGTGCGTGACGAAGATGCGTAGCTGTGGTACCAACGCCTTGGTCCCTGCATTGGATGGCAATATATCGATTGCCGACTGTGAGAAGACGAACCTCGGCAACTCTTGTGCTAAGGTCCCTTCTGAGACCGAATCGGAAGGTGGCCGCACGTCAGTCTTCTCCTTAGCAGGAAGTACTGATGGAAGCCATCAGTCGCTGCAAATGTCGCCAGAGGCAGGGGCGATGTTTGACTCAGATGTTGGTATGATATCGTTCGTGTCAAATTTGGATATGAGTGACGACGAGTCTGTGACCATTCTGGCCGACCATTTGAGGTCGACAAACGGTATAATCGCAGAAGAAGTCGCGGAAGTTGTTGACACGATGAACACGGTGCCGGTCCTGTCCTTTGACTCCACGCTACAGCGAGGCAGGTCGACTCAGAACGCTGACGTTGTCGATGATAATGACGCTAAGACGGGCTCTAATACTGGCTTCAGCTGGCCTCCTCTCAGTTCCAAGAATTCACCTCGGTCCCTCGACCAATGTCTCGCAGAGCAGGAAGAGTTGCTGCGACGCATGCTGTCAGCCAGCAGTTTGCGCCACCAGAACGTTGCTGTCACTGCGGAAAGTGGACTTGCGGGTCAGAGCGGGTGTAACTTTTTCAGTGGCACGCCGTTAACCAAGGCTCGCGTAGGTGCCACGCTCTTTGAGTGCTAGCATAGCGTTATCGCCAATGCGTAGCTTCAGTGAGTAATTGCAAATTCTTCGACGTGTCTCGATTATCCTGCATCGAACTCACCTCCCGATTATACAGAAGATGCTTGATTTAGGGAAGTGGACATTTCCATCGTGATGTCTGCAAGCTGTCGTCGCGGATATTGTCATGATGTTGTCGGATGTATACTCATGGTTGGAGGCCGTTTTTCTTGTACAACTACGCACATAGCTCACGAAGTGCAAGCAAAAGGTAAGCAGCTTAGTCAATATAAATGGGCGTCGACTGCTGGGTGGAAGCTGGATGCTCGCAGGCGGGAGGACTGTAAGTACTTTTGTTGGCTATCAAGCGGACAATGTTCAGACTGTTGCCTGGTACTGTAAATGGCGAGTGTCTTGAAGCTCGAAACGTACTCCGCTCACTTTTTATAGTACCATGCAAACAGCTCAACTTTCATGTGGAACAACATGGTGTGGGTCTTGTCTCTCCCTATGCTGAAGACCCAGTCCTTTTCATCCCACTCGCAAGCTTTAATGCTGTCCGTCTATACTTCCCGTCAAAGCGAGCACAGTGAACGTAACCTTGTCTTTTTATGTATGAAAAGGCTGTGGACGCATCAGCGAGAGCCTCGACGTTAGCAAGGAGATCGGCAGGCAAGTTTGGATGTCAATGATGTGTTTATACTCAAAGCAGCTTCGTGTCACCGCAGTACTGTAACCAAGTTGAACGCGACATACTGTACAGACTTGCACCGCTGACGATCGGCCTCACGGACTTATCTCTGTAAGGCTATTCAGGGTCTCTCTAGGCGTAAAAGAGCCTTGTCCGTATTGGCACATGAAGGCGACTTCGATGATCCCTTCGTCCGCTAACGCCATGTGCATACTCTTTGCGTGGCGTTATCGTTTCGTGGTTGCGGCCAGGGCAAATATTTGGCGTCTTTCCATGACGCTTTGCTCTCCAGCTTAAGGAACGTCGACGTGTCAGGTTTCATACTGCTTTTACTAAACGAGCTTCAGGTGAGATCTTCACGTCCTGGCGTGGTAACTGGCTAAGGTTTTGTTCAAACGGGAGCTTGGACTGATTTGAAGGTGTTGTGTAGAGTAGCAATGACTCGTTAGGGCTACATTCTAGTTTCAAGACGTTAACAACACGCACTTATTGGCCTTCTCGAGACACGCTCACCTGGTAGCAGTGCGTTAATACAGATGGTGTGTGAAAGGCTGATCGACGTGTGTGTCATGCGCCGAGGTCAAGAATCGTAAGAAATCAACCAAGGTGTCCCGTCTTGCGACCTTCCTTACGCTGTGGGACTCTAGGATTGGACGAGAGACGACCTCAAGACAACAGACGCATTGGATGATTTGTGATTTGGGCGAGTGGATCAAAGTCGCTGATACAAAACAAAATTGAGCCAATCACTGTTTAGTCGATCTTTTTGCACTCTGTACTTTTTCCGGCTTTTTATCCTATTTTTAAGCAATGCGACTAAACTAGAGTGTATTCTGGCGCATAGTTCGGTGACAAAGCTAGAGGTTGAGTGCAATTCTTGTGCTTAACTGACCCCCAAGTAACTTACGACGCGCGAACAGATCGGATCGGATTGTCACAATCCTTCAAACGAACGAACGTCACTCCGTACACATGCATACAGCACGATACCGCGCCTTTCTCACGATCTGGCGACAGCCGATCGGGCTGTGCAAAGTGCGCTCTCGTCCAGCGAACCGATCTGCGCAAAAACGAGCCGCTTAGAGGGCACAACCATTGGCGGGAGTGGTATCGCCGCCTGCACTGGATAGACCACATCGGAAGCAATGCCCGCCATTTATCAATTCCCGATTGTAGACTGCGTGCGTTGTGCATCGTCCGATCGTTCGGTCCCTACCGTAGCAGCTCGCAACTGCTCTAACGGACACGACCGAACAACGACGCGAGATTTTACTACTCGACGCAGCTCATTATTAATAAAGTACCGACGCCATGCCCCGCAAGTCGTCTCCCCCCCTGCCCCGGACGGCGTCTGGTAGCTCAACGTATGTCGCTTTTTTGCAACTCCAGCAGTCTCCTTTATTTGCGGAAGTTTTATAACGGCTGCGTACACACCAGAACTCGTCTCACGTTGCGTTCGAAAACTTCAGACTAATTCGGTGGTTTGCGTGACATTTCTATGGTAGACACCGATCCTCTCACAAGCTGCGATTCCCGTTACCCGATGACTACTTCCCATCGCTTTGCCTGTCGCTGTCGAAAATTCAGGAGTATCAGACCCAGGTGGAAGAAATGATCACGAAGACTTTGGAGTCCTGCAAAGACCACGAGGCGCGCGTGGCTGGTTGTCATCCACAAGAGGCAAAGTGTTGGCAGGACGTTGCGCGTGACTCGGATCTGTCCATCTCCCGCCAAAAGCAGGGGGCGATCACGACTACGCGCACTTTTGGCAACGTGGCGGGTGACTTCCACCGGTTTATGGACTTTTTCTCATCCGAGACGTCCGAGCAGCTTTTTGCGTGGAACCAGTTCTTCTTTGGCTGTGCAATTGACGCTGTGGTGCTCTGCAACCTGAATTTGGACGACCAGGACAACCGGGCAACTCTCGGTATCAAGTGGACCTGCATGCAGCCTTCAATGCTCACCCGCAAGCGTGACGAGTGTTTTCTAGAGTACATGGGGTTCCGAAAGGACGATCAGGGTCGCGACGTTGCGGTGATTGTGCGTTTGCCTGTCGAGATCCCCGAGTGTCCGCCGCTGCCTGACGAGCTCAAGACCAAGCGTGAAAGGGCCACAACTGTGTCAATTGTGCGCGCGTCGGACTTGCACCCGAACGCGACTCAGGTGTTCATACTGAGTCACTGTGACCACAAGGGGCTCATCGTATCGACGAAATACTGCAAGAAGTTGCTAAAAGCACTAAAAGATGTGTCGCTCTCCTCGGATGCCAAGCGCATTGCCACCGCTCTGAGCACACCAGGGTTCCTCGAGCAGACGCAAGTTAAGACTGAAGCTTTTACGATGGGAGATACCATTCGTCCTTGGGTGCCAAGCGCGGGTGTCCAACGAGGCTGCGCTAGTTGTTCTCGGCCCTTTCGAGGTGGACATAGACGCCATCACTGTCAGATGTGCGGCGATGATTTCTGCAGCAAATGCCTCGTTCGACGAGCTAGCGTTCGACGGCGGACGAACACTGTTGGCAACAGTGCTACAATGACGAGTCAACGGACATTCCGCGTGGTACAATCGACGTTCTGCAAGGTGTGCATTAGTCGTACTTGTGAAGAAGCCGCAGACGCTGGTAAGGAGCAAATGGGAGCCGCTCGTCGTTCCGTGGTATCTTCAAGATCGTCTTCAATGCCGCGTCGCTCGTCAATCGAACAACCGGCGATCATTACGCCGGCATCTTCTGTATCGCGGAGCTCCGTATCCCAACACACCGATGCAGTTTACAGCAGTGCAACTTGGAGTGAGGACACCCGCACGTCTTGGTGGTCCGAAATTGACACCGATGCGTGCAGTTGGAAGTCAGGATCAAGCCGATTCAGCAGAATCTCGCGCAACCATAGTGGCATCGCCACTGTGCGTTCATCGATCAGTTCCGATTACTCGATGGGCCGAAACTCCATTCTGGCATTGCAGTCGCACGATTCTCCTCAAGAAATTGATACTGTCCACCTTAATGATCGGATTGACGAGCGCTCCAGTATTTACGAAGTAATTGACACGAAAGACATGATGCGCGACCAGCAACCTGAAGCACATAACGAAGCAGACGACGACTTCTTCAGCATGTTTCCAGACACTGTTCGTGCCCGGTTCTCGTCCACTCCAACGGCTCCGACGACGTTGCCGCGGAACTTGAAAAGCACTCGCAGCTTTAAAGTGACTACCTCTATGGCTTCTTCCAAGTCGCTGGACCAGTGCATTGCAGAGCAGAACGAACTGTTGCAGCAAGTGCTTTCCGCCAGTCGGATTCTGAACACCGGGGTTCCGCCTCGCAATAAAGTGTCACCCGCGACCGAGAGTATACACGAAGGGAACGACGGCAGTCAGGACGATGGCGTTTTTGAACTGTGACCTCCTTGTTTGGTCTAGACCAGTGGCAAGTGCCACCAAGTCATGGTGATGGCAAAAATCACAACTCAGCGCAGAGTACTTCTTAAAAATATCCGACGTCATTACAAGTTCTATTGAACAGTCCTGTAACCAGTTGTAGTTGTGCTCATAACGCAGTCAGTCCACATATTGTCGAAGTGGTACGACCATACGTTTGGAATCTCGAGGTCGAAAACCGCCTAAACAACGCCCATTTGCGTTGCCATACAAGTGGTGGAAATCGCGTCGGTCAAGTCTACTATTGTCGCATCTTTACATGACGATCTGTGTATACTGGAAGAAGCTCGTATACTCGCTCTATTTTAGATTGTAGATGCCCTACTTGGTGAGGCACAGTTGGATGGATTGCTCATAATTTAAGAATTGCTCATAATTTTGGGAATACTCATAATTACGGGGATGACTCATAATCTGGGGATTGCTCATAATTTGGGGATTGCGATTTTAACGACCTTACAAAACGTGTCGTGGCTAAGTACGCGTTTTTGCTAGCTCCACAGCAACTACCAGATTGCAAACGCAAAGTTTATTGCGCTGTTCGCAAACGTCCATCACCGGACAATTTTTTTGCCTCTAACAACGTGCCACTGCAAAGATGCGACATATACTTCGTCACATCTACAGCTCTTGCCGGTCAGACATTTTTAGGGTACAACAGCATTTATCAAAGTGCATGAAGGAAACCATCGCAGACCGCATAGCGTCGTCAGGAAGAATGTGGAAGAAAAGATCAGAACCTAGATCGAGTTCATGTGCTGACAACGTCGCGTCTGTGGTTAAAAGCTGCGTCCGTGGTCGAAATCCAACGAGGATAGACATACGAAGAAAGTCAACATGGTCGGTGCTGTATCGAAAAGGGGCCATGATTGGCACAGAAAGTTGCCACGGGTGGTCCAGCTAGGACAAACATGCGCTTGTTATGACTTGTCAGGAGCTGGTGACCGCAACATTTCTAGTCGCTTGGATCGGGCGGCCTTGCAATACGATGATGGGCAAGGGTTGGCACGTTACTAGCTTTGAGATCAACTTGTGAATGATTTGCTTTCTATTCTCGACGCGCCTCGTCATGCTGCTAATGGTGTAGATCCCTGGACATCAATTACAGAAGTGTGTTACTGCACGCACCCATTTCAACGATACATTTACAGAGCTGACTTGCGTGATGTTAAACTAGGACTTTTGTCTGTAAAGAGGTTTTGAATCTTTGCGAAACCGGTAAAACCTGGGAATCGCATCAGCGTATGGTGAAAATAGATATTCCCCATAACTAATTCGATTGTTCGGTCGCAATTTCTCCAGTGGTTCTGATACCAATAATCACATATTCAATGCGGCTTCCACGCACACCGAAAGAGCACAAACTCAGCACTTCCTGAACAATTACATAGTTAAAATAGGAATCATTGAAAATTGCTAGCGGCTGATGCGTGTTTTGTATTATGAATGCTGAAACCAATTGACTCGATGCACCGCTCATCGTAGTCGACGACGACGTGTTAAGGGCACAATACGAGTAGATCATGTCACTTGAGATTTGATGGCAGCCCATTTTGGCATAATTGTACTATGCCATTAAAGTAACAAAAGGGTAACACCGTCTTAGTCACTGCTGAAGCCACATTCCGCCCCTCGAGGTGGATTAATAGTGCGTCCTGACAAGCGAAGGACCGAGCAAAGTGGATCTAAAAGTCGCCACCTGACTTTAGTGTGCGTACGACAAGCACACAAGTGCAACTAGGTAAACTGAATACTTTCAATGTGTACTCGATTTTCCTGTAAATCGTTTTAGATGTGCGCAACACATTTTGGGAATGGAATTGATATGCTCGCAGCTCGCGCCAACAAGGTAAGTTTATGAACTTAGGGCTAAGCTTGTGATGTTTAGCTGCGGCATTTGCACAAAATATCGCCTGGAGCCGCTTTTAAAGTGATCGCTTAGCATTCAAGTAGTTAAGGTGATTAAAATGAGTAAAACTCAAGCTTTCATAAGTACAAAGCTCTGCAGAGTACGCCACGAAGTTGTGCGGATACTTGTGTCGCTCTTCATGGCCGTAGTTTTATCAAGCTACAATAGTAGTGCCTGTAGAAATGTTGAAAAATGTCCATTTGTTTTGCTTACAAACGGTCGTTCACTTGCGATGGAGCTGCACTTCGTGAGCAACCGTAGTCGTCACGTCAACACACTTAGGTAGTATCGGGAACGACTTTGAACGATATTCGATTTGGCTCACAGTCTTTTGTGGCAGAATTTCTATTGTGACGCAACGAATTGTACATTGGACCTGTTTGCTAGACCTACAACCTTCTTCAACACTGATTACTGTACGGCTATAGAGTACTCCGACGACAACTATGCCACTACGCTGCTCGCGGCGGACAGGACCCGATGATCGACAACAAGTACGTATGCATCGTGTTGACGAATGACCAATGTTTGCAGGTCGCAGGCAAGATTTGGTAGTAGTTCGGTATCTTTAGCACCAATCTTTTAATGCTAGCGAAGCGGAGCTTACAGAGAACTCGGCACCCGTATTCAATTGGCTGTATTCGAAATGAACGTACCCTCCCTTTCTTGCAAGTCGAGCAGCGTATTTTTATGCACAAAAGGGCATATTCACCTTTGTTCTGTTAACACAGATTTCAACGCACCCTAATGGTCACATTATCTTCTGTCCCTTGACAACGACGCTCGAACAAAAATTAACGGACGGCCGAAATGGACAAAGAAACTCGATCGGTGCCGTTCCAACAGCATCGAAACGACAATCCGTACGCCTATTGCTCGACAAGAAGCCATGACGACGAAGGTAGTGTTTGCTAGCCAAGCGGAGCGTATGACACTATAAGGTATAAACGATGAAACGAAGGCAGCACAAAGTCTAGTCTTGCGCTCGTGTGTAGTTGTCAGTACTGTCGGCTGCTCGTATTTGGTGCGACTTTCGCCGTGTCGTCACCACGAAGTCTTGACGAAGAAGGTGCAAGTTTGTGTCCATCACTAGTCTGGATGTTTCGGAATGGCACTGGGCCTTTTGAGTGAGCAGCAGGCGGCAGTAATCACTTGTACAGACTATTCTAGTAACATAAGATAGGAGATCAAGCTCTGGAGCTTGCCCTTTGATGTTTGTTATCCAGTTTGGAGAGCTAAATTTAGATGCATAACACTAAACACCAGCAGTCAATGAAGAAGGAGTATGATCCTGTTACTGTCTGTATCAATCCAGTTTAGTTAGCATAGTCAACGTGATCGGCCTTTGTTTCTAAGCGTCCAGCATTGTCTTTTGCGATCACTTTCACATTTGATCGTTTTTAAGCCAACAATAAGCATCCGAAGTCACTCTTTGGCTAGGTCACGACTGTACCAGAATAGTGACCTAGCCAAAGCATAACTTCGGGGGACAGGCTTGCTCGCACTTAGTACGGGTCAGGTGCACCTAACCGCGTTATTTACAGACACACAGACACAGATTTACAGATGAGTACAATTTAAAAGTTCGGTATTCAACCTTGTCCGTTCTTACTACTGTAATAGCTTCACCCTTCAAGCTCGCAATAAGCGCAAAATGTACTAAAGTCTTTAGGCAATGCACAGACTGCTGACGAGATGTCTAACTTCATTAATTTGAGAAACGGCCATGTGAACATCGATCATAGATAATTGCAACACTCGAAAGCCCTAACACTACTTCTGCCCTGTACGTGGTCACCCAGCAGTTGGTCTGCAGGGACCATAGTCATGTGTTGTTGAAGTCCGCTTCTGCGTTGGTCACATATTTTACCACTACATGTTGGTACCTCGTCCGTAGTAGCCAGAGGAGTTTGCTGCCATCACTAATCTTTTCAACAAAACTTCCTGCTCTTGGAGTCGCTGGTCGATCGACACGTTTGACCGACCAGGTCCGAAAAACGACTTCTCTGTTAGCGCAGTCAGTGGGGATTCGCATAACGGAGACGACACGATCTGCCGAGAACTCGACACGATCTGGGTCGACTCGTCTATAATCTCAATGACGTCGTCCCCGTCGTCTTCGTCCTCTTCGTCTTCGTCATCGTTTTCCTCCATCAGCGGCATCTCATCGCTCCTGTTGCTTGACAACTCTTCGGCTAGCTCGTCCCCTCCAATCAAAGAAAAATCTACCAGACTGACGGGTTTCAAGTCCAACGCAGCAAGAGACTCCCGCAACGTCCGAAGTTCTTCTTCCTCCGCCTCCTGTACGACACGCTCCGCGCCCGCAATTGTTCGGAGGTGGCGCAGGTCGAAAGTCATGAGAGCAGCAGGTTCCGTGACTTCGACTTCGCCCTCGCCGTCAAGTGAAGACGACACGCTAGTTTTTGTTTCGGACAGGACCTCCAAGTCAACGCAGGTGGAACACTTTCGCTTTGGTAAGCTAACACCTTGATCGACATTTGCTTCTTCCTCTGACTCTTCGGTCGTGTCGCTTTGAAGTAAAAACGAGTTGGTGGAGCTCGCTTCAGCAGGCGAAAGCATCGCCAGCAACGATCGATTCGTCATTGCAAAGTTGTTGTCACCATCAAGGCTCTTGTCTATGAACCAGCTCGAAGACTCGGCATCGGACACGCCTTCATCGTGACTGTCAACCCCGACGACACCCATGACGTCTGTACCACGGACTTTGCCCATACAAGCCTTACAAAAGACTGTTTTCACCACCTGAAAGGTTCGCGTCAAAGGAGGAGAGCTGTCATCAAACATGGCGGCATCTCGAATGGTCATGCAACGACGGCAAGCCAACTCGCCACAGAGCCGGCAGTGCTGACGTCGTCGCGTGGTGGAAAACTTGCGGCTGCACACGATGCAATGAGGCCGCGCTGACTTTGGCGCCCAGCTCCGACGATCCAAAATCCCGTGCGCGGAAATGCGCTTCGAGTCGGCAAACAAGGCCATGGAGCTCAAGGTCGTCATGAGCTTCTTGAACGTAGCAACGGACGAGGTGCTTGAGCCTTTGTGCATATCAACTTCGCTCGTCGTAAAGATCTGAGTCGCGTCGACGTTGTCACTTGTTGGACGAACGATCGTCACTGTGTGCGAATGGATTCGCCTCGTCTTGAGCTTCTCCGGCAACGGCGGACACTGATCCAGGAGCAGGGGCAGCGTGATGCGAACCCCAACGTCTCGACCCTGAAGATCCTTCGTGTACATGAGGTACTCGAGGAAGCACATGTCGCGCTTCCGCGAGAGCGTCGACGGCTGGAGACACACCCACTTCATGCCCAAATACACGTGCGGTTTCTGCGATTCCTTGGTGTGGATGTTGCACAGCACGGCCCCGTCCACGGCATAGCCGAACATGAACTGGTTCACTGCAAAGACTTCATGCGCAGTGGTGGAGTAGTAGAAGTCGATAAAGTTGCGGTAGTCGCCGGCCACGCGGCCGAAAATGCGGGAAGACTCGATGGCTCTCGACGGATCCACTTCGCGGATCGCAGTCAAGTGCTCCACGTTCCCCACGACAGTCCACCGGGACCCGTACTCTGGGCGGGATCCCATGGCCTCGTGCAGGTTGTACTCAGCCATCGCGTTCTTCATAATAATCTCCACGCGCTGTTCGTAGACGGCGATTTCTGCCGCCGTGAGGTCCACCGAGGGGAAGTACCCGTCCGGCAAGGGGAACTTGACGCTGCTACTGGCATTCATTTTTGACTTTGGAGTCGCCCCGCTACTACCCGCCATCAAGAGTCGAAGAACGAGAGATGTCGCCTGCGAAGCTCGTTCGACGCGGACGCTGGCTGCTGATGCGCTGCTGCTGCTGCTGACACCAGCCGTTCGTTTTGCAATGTGTTGTCGGAAGAGCGCCCACCCCCTCCCCCGTGCGTATCGGCGCGACTCGACACTCGGCCGATGCGGTGCGTGATTGTGGCCGGCCCGTCCACTGTGTGCAATGCTGCAACGCTGCAATGTGCTTGTCGTCCGCGCCACGTGCAGTTGCCAGCGTCCGCGGCTTTCGTCGAAAGTCTCCTCTCTACACGTGGTGCGAAAGAACGGACATCCGGTCAGGAGATTTGAGGGGTGGAGCTCCGAGCGAGGACGACGTGGACGTTCGGTCGCCTGATCGCCTTTTGTGGCGGCACCCGTGGACATTCACACTGTCGGTCTGGATTGACCGATTCTACCTCACGACGAGTCCAAAGTTCCCCACGTTCCGCCATGTCGAGCGGACGGTATCATTAGTCTGCGGAAAACCATTCACGATTTCCTCCTCGCGTCAAGTATCGCCGACAGGAGAAGTGAAGCTTTCAGACGCAGGATGGAGTGACATCTAAACATGGTGCTTCCGTTTTATCTGGCTGAAGGGGGTTGGCACAACCGATTCGGTTAATGCGAGCATATGGGTTTACGAGAGAGCTCTCTTTCTGTGGCTGAAACCCGACGATGAGAGGTTGCGTGGACGCCCGCTGTCAGGTGTTTTGAGTGCACTCTAGGAAACCAGGCGGCGTTAATGCCATGAAGCCAGCAGCGTTTGTTGAATCAGGCTGGAGACTCACTGAGCACTCACTGGGCATCTATTGGAGTGTTACTGCGACTGCGTTGTGATCGCCGTAGTTGTGTGTGTCGGTTATGTGAGCATTGATGATGGTGTCGGTCTCGTCCACCTTGACAGCTCAGACAGAACAGACAAGTGCACCAGAAAGTGCCTGCGCTGTCATCAACCGCTTGTGTTAACAGGATCGCTGCTAAAGGACACTTTCCTCTAGAAAAATGCCCAAACCTAAATGAGCTGTCACGTCAGACTGACGAGCTTGACCGAGCCGAGGCTGTAAGCTCAGACTCGTTGCACTTCAGAATGCTCTAAACGGTGAAGGTGCTTTGTGTTAGCTTGCACCTCTTCCACTAAACTCATCTGATGATTTAAGGCCAATGCCATATGCAGGACACGAGTGAGAATGAGGTGCTGCCACCATGAACGAGTCTACGCTCGTAGACTTCTTTGCAAAGCACTTTTGCGAGGTCGTGTTCATGCGTAGGTAGCTCCAGTCGAATGAAGGCTGGTTCGAACCCAGTCCACTCTAGACTGTTCCACGATGCCGAGTGCTTCGATTTCGACGCTGTGGTATTAGAAACCTTCGAGGCAAACGTTGAGCTCGCCACGACGGGATGGTGAAGACGTGGTGACCCTTCGTGCATTTGTGTCGACTGTATGATGCACACCGGAATCGCGAAGGCCATCAACTTGTTGATGATTAAATGGAAAGAATTCGAAGCGATATCACGATCTTCTGTGTTTGACCTGCCGCGATGCTGGCACGTGGAGGTCACAAACGTGACAGTGGACATGTGATGCGACTCCACTGTAGCCTCGCGAACCTGGTTTGTTAGCTACAAGTGCCTGCCCTGGCCAAGTGTTCCCGGCTCTGGCTTCGCTCGAGCTGTGACTCACGGTATAATACCGCGACTTTTCTGAAGCACATCACCGGAAAATGTCCCAAACTGGCCATTCTCGGGCATTTGACCCCATAGGAGGCTGTGCGTGTGATTTTGGGTCGCACTAGAACCGTTTGAGGATCTCTTCCGAGAGCTGCTACCTATGCGACAGAAAATAATTTAGTTTTCGATTTTCCGTCATGCTGTCATCGACACGCCGTCGCACGTTATCACGGTAGGAATGCTACGATTGACGCTACCACGGTCTCCGATAACTCATCACTAAGTTCTTTTTGCTTGTCAACTTCTGGTCCGCTAGTAACGACGCCAAGACGTTCCCACTGCCGGATGACTTCTTCCCGGAAGTCCAGCTCACGGACGTACAGATTCAGAGCTATGAAACGCAGGTCGAGGAAATCGTCCGAAACGCGTTAGAGGAATACGAACAACACCAAGTCCAACCAATATACAGTGCACCGTGGGCGCTTCTTGGTACCGACGGTCCCTTGACCGCTATTCGTAAGGAATCATCCGAGGAGCTCTCGAACAGCGAGTTTCGTCTCTATGGATGCATCCACGGCAACTTTCAAACCTTTATGGAGTACCACTACGCTGAGACGTCTCAGGAGCATTTCGAGTGCAGTCAGTTCATGTACGGCTACGCGGTGGACGCTGTCGTGCTCAAGAACATTCACACGCGAGAATCAAACAAACCACATGACTACATGGGCATCAAGTGGACGTGTCTGCAGCCGTCATCATTCGGCCACAAGCGGGACAATTGCTTTCTAGAATACCTAAGGTACACTACCGACAAGCTCGGCCGTAAAGTGGGCGTCCGTGTGACGCTCCCCGTGGAGATCAACGAATGCCCCGATCTGCACCACTCGCTGAGAATCAGACGGATGAAGGCTCAAAGCGTCTGCATCGTCCGCCCGGCAGGTTCATCGGCAGACGCCACGCAGCTGTTTCTCATGAGCAAAAATGACTTCGCCGGTCTCTCACCGAGCGCCAAGAACTTTAAAAAGTTCATGCGCATTTACAACGACATGTCTCTCATTGTCGACTCGAAGCACATTCTGAAGCAAGGAATTGTGGGCAAAGCGAAGTGGGTGGCAAACGACGAGCGCAGAGCTTGCACGAGATGTCAGCTCCCGTTTAATACTGCAACGCGTCGCCGGTCGCATTGCCGGCTTTGCGGTGATGTCTTTTGCCGCCACTGCGTGATCCTTCGCAATGTGCCGCGCGAGGACGGCGGTATGAACAAGTCACGCGTCTTTCAACTAGCGAAGACGCACTTTTGCATGACGTGTGTATCAAGCGTCCGTCAAGAAGGTAATGACGCGCTGCAAATGTTAACGTCGGAGCTCGTCTGTGCGTCTTTGACGACGCGTGGCGGGAGCGTCGATAAGAGCCTCAGCTATGACATAAAGGCCCCGAAATCTTGCAAAGCCATGACCACTGCCATGGAGGAGAGCAACTCTGTACAGCAGGAGTGGTGGAACGACCTGGTGTCGTACAACACGTCCGAGTCGGAGTGGTCCGAAACGGATTCGGAGGACGCGAGTAAAGCGTCATTCAATGTCTCGGGCCTTTCGAAATTGGCGAGCTCGTTGTCCTCGTCCCAGTCGTCATGGACGACGTCTCATAGTGATAACAACACTGAAAATTACGTGGACCATGACCACAGTATGTCGTTCATAGCGACGCTGGATGTCATCGATGACGATGTGGCGATTCTCGATGAGGAGCCGCAGAACCGCAAGCTTCAGCTTCGAAAAGAGCTCGCCAAAGCGCAGCAGATGTCGACGAGACAGCGACGTCTGTCACCGAAGCAAGAGCTGACTCCTCGGATGTCGATCGATGACTTCCTGGAGGTCACTGAAGTCGTTGACACGACCGACATGATATCGATCTCGGAGCTAAGAAGGCAGTCATGTGCTCAAACCGCAGGCAGTGCGATCCCTGTGCCAACGGGGCATAGTGAACAGACGACACTTTTGAGCCCGAGCGGCTTGGACATTTGTCTTAGCCGGGACGACCCGACCACTCGATTTCGCACGTCTCGCTCGATAAGTCAGTGCCTCGCAGAGCAGGAGGAGCTTCTACGGCGCATTCTGAGTGCCAGTCGAGGTCACTCGAGCTCTGGCGTGGGCTCGAAGCGTATATCGAGCAAGCCCATGAACGTGGACTTGTCGGCGACGATGCCCCCTAGTATTCGACTGTACCAGTGCTAAGTTTCAACTTGCTCTTGAGGGCACAACGCGTGTACTTGACTCATACTTTCTGCGTGCAAATTAGATGCAATTAGGCCGGTAATAGCTGATGTTGAATTTGAAACAGTGCCAGCCAAAGAAGCAGTAGCAACTTCAATGTCACAGATGACGTTTCCAGCGACTTTGGAAGCATGACGAGTCTGCACCATAAGCAAAACCGTCGGATGTTGACGCTAAGATGAGAGAGATACTGCATCATCATCACCATCACTCTGCTGAAATCAAGGGTGTAAATTCAGCGCTCGTTCAGCTGCGCCGGAATTCTCTACAAATACGGAGCAAGTGGTCGTAGCAACGAAAAGATCCATGCTATTGCCATCGACTGAGTTTGTCACGAAGAACAGGATGGTCGTAAATGAAGTGCTAGAAGGCTTAAGACACGGCTTTAGCGTCTGAATCCGATTAGCAGTACAGCTGGCCCGATGAACCTGGTTTCGGCCTTCATGTCGCATGCCGCATTTCGGCCGCTCGAAATCGCCGCACAACAATTAAGGGCAGACTGCTCATGAGATCAGCCGTTTCCCCCTGTCGCGACGACGGCTTGCGACTCGGAGTCTCTGCTCCGCCTTTTTCAGTCGCATTTATCATCCGTGCAAGCAGAACCGCAGCTGCTGCTGGGTTGCACTCCACTCCACCGTCTGCCCGTCCGTATCCAAATATCCTCTCGAGGCCTTCCACTCGATCAAAACCCCAACTATCGACCACCAACTGCCCAGCCTCTCTCTCTCTCTCTTCAATTTGCCGCTCACAGGACACGAAAAAAGGCCTGTCTTCGACGATCGTCTCTCCCGCGCTCGCTCCATCGCGCGCTCCATCGTTCACTTGCCCCCCCCCTCCCCCTCCCCCTCCTCGTCTCTCTCTCTCTCCCTCTTTCTTTCTGAGTATCCTCAGATGGCGGACGTATCAGGCCGTCGTCGTGTCCGCCACTTGTTTGCAAGTCGCAGACAAAAGCCCGCGCCCCCATCGAGCAACTCACAGATCGAGCCCGACGACCTCGAGACCGACGCGCTCGAAGGCGACAGTTCGAACGCCCACGTCATGAGCAGCTCCGCGTCGGAAGCGTCTTCGGTAATGACCACGACCGTCGCCATGGAGAGCCCGCTGAAGAAGCGCCTGGCCAAGCTGCCCGTCATGCACGACCGCTACTGCGTGGCCACGTTCGAGACGAACGCGCAGGAGCGCTCGTGCGTGACGCTGCGCAGCTACAAGAGCCGTCGCGCCTACTACGCGCAGCCGGAGAAGCCGTCGAGCGCTCACGAGCTCCAGCGCATCCGGGACTGGGACGGCAAGACGGGCTTCCACCGCTACGCGCACGCGTTCACGATGGAGACGCGCGACCGGAAGCTCTTCCAGTGCGTTGCGCCCAGTGCAGGCGACAAGAGCAAGTGGCTCGAGCTCTTGCCCAGGCACGCGGCGTTCAGGCGCGCGCGCGACCGGCGACGCAACAGCATGAGCACGCTCGGGCCCGTGCAGCGCTCGGAGCAGGCTCGGGACGACAAAGACGCAAGTGGCAAAGCAAGAGCGGCGTCCGTAGACCTTGCGGGGCCCGAGGCGTTGGACGGGAGGGGCAGCTTTGCTGTCCAGGACCGTCTGTTCCGCACGACGTCGGACGCGGTGTCCGACGAGACGACGTTGGAGGGGTCCGTTCGCGACCGGAACGAGCCGCTGGATTGGGGACTGTACGGAGAAGGACAGCAGTTGGCAGCCGTGTCCAAGTACGACGTGCAGGAGACCGACAACGACGGAAATGGCGGGAAGTCGCTGGGTTTACTGGGAAACGAGCTGTTGGATGATACAGAAGGAGAGCGCCAGACGTTGGACGCGGACGCGTTTTTGTTTGGAGAAAATGGCGCGAGTCGATTTGGAGCCGTGTTCGTTCGCGGTGTTAAACGAGAGGAGGACAATGACGACGAGCACAATGACGACGCCGAGTTTGTGGACGAAGAGATGGAAGCGAGAGCAGTTCAGAAGGACAAGGAGAACAAGATGAAGCGACGGGCGCAGAAGCTCGAAACGAATCGAGATTTGTACGCTGAGATGGCGGCTGCGAGACTTGCTGGGATGCGCAAGGAGGCGCGTCATTCTAAGAAACGCTATAGTCATCGCCACAGTCGCTTATCCACGAGCACTGACGCGAGCGACGTCGAGATACTTGACGAAGAGCAGTCGCTGGTTGTAGTAGGAATAAGTGGGGACGTTGCTGATCCGGGAGAAACGCGTGAGCGCTGCAGTAGCCTCCGCAGTCTTGGTAGCTTCAATAGTCGCGAAAGGAGCTTTGTGGGCAGTGAGAACATAAGCAGTTGCGGGATAAATGGAGACGTAAGTGGCAATGGCGAAGAAGAAGAGGTGGAGAACGAAGCTGCTGTGCCATATTCTGTTGTGACCACGACGCAAATCATTGGCTCGAAGAGTGCTGAGACTGGATACACGGAAGTTACGATAGCAGAGGCTGAAGAGCTGCGCCAGATAAAGAAGGAATCGCGCGCCGATCGTCGTGCGAAGAAGCGTATGATGATGAAGGAAAAGGAAGAGGAGGAACGCATGGCTTTGGAAGCATTCGAGCTGGCACGAGCTCACCGTGAAGAGCAGCGGGCTCGCGAGGAGGCGAAGGCTCATGAGGAGCGGACAAAGCGTGACAAGAACGAACGGCGAGAAATGAAAGAGATGCGTAAGCATGAAAGGGTGAAGAAGTACCAGGCTGATCTTCGAAAGGTAGCAGATCGAAAGGAGGCAGAAGGTGAAGTTTGCGAGCGCAAGGCGAAGAAGGAAAAGAAGAAATTGAAGAGGAAAGAAAAGCACATTTTACCCGCGGAACGCATTCACCGAAGAGGTGAGAAAGGTGCTAATCGTTTCGAAGAGTCCGTCCCTGCTGCGAAACAAGCTCCAGCGGAAGCTATGGACGCTTTGGTCGCCGTGAAAGACGAGTCAACGAAGAAAATGAGTCTGCAGCTGCTTGCAGCTACCTCACCCGTATTGACTCCGGTTCCTGTGTCGACTCCATCGCCTGTTCTGACCGAGTCTTTTTCAATGCGGCAAGCTGTCTCTACATCTACAAGTTTACCCGCTCCTAGTATTCCCTCTACTTACGAGAATGGTACTGTGGGCGTTCCTGCTCTTGCCGGTGAAGGTACAGCCACTGCAGCAGGCGTGATGACGATGCCCCCGTATCATATGTCGCTGCCGCCGTTTGCGCCGTCGTATCTTCATGGTCCGCAAAGTATGCCGGCGTACGGTTTGGCAGCCACGTTCGGTGCCTACCCTCCGTTTTATACTGCCCCCTACTGCTACGGAAGACCGGTGGGGCTGCAGCCTGCGTTGATGCGTCCGAACATGGGATTCGTGGCCGGGTTGAGTGCAATGAATTCTTTTGGCACGGCTGCTGGTCCGGCGCCAGGACCACCTACCCTGGATTCATCTGAGCCTATGATCGGCCCGCAGCTGCCTACCTTGGAAAAGTTTGTTGCAGCCTCGTCAGACGATGCGTGCGCACCTTTTCCTTTGCTGTCGTCCGCGGGGAACTCAGTCAGGTCAAAGCTGATAGACCTGCCAGAACTGCCGGATGTGATCGAGTTTTAGAGAGGACACGCGAGTCGCCTTGTTTGGAAAATTTGACTTTATTTGCGATTGTTGTTGCTCGAAGCAATGGGTACGACGGCGGTCGCTGTTCACAATTCTGTCGACAGCCGTGAGGTTGATGGATCGTGTATGGCACTGGCCGCGTCTATTGCCAACAACTGCGCGTACGGGCTGCAGTGGCAAGGCGAAGTAGCTCGCTTGCAGCCATTACCGTTTGTCAGACACTTTGTTGACACCGATAACTGCTGCACTGTCAATGCAGATGTACGGGCCCATCGGAGGTCTCGTATCCAGAGACTTACAGCGCATTTGTCCTCCTCCGCTTTGTCAGCAATTTTTACTTGTTGCGACGGCGCGAGCTCGGTTGTGCCACTTCCAGCAATGTGTGGCCTTGCCGTGGTGTCGTTTGATACGTCATGTTGTTTACGTGTTGGTGATTGGTGCGAAGCATGCTACATTAAGGTAGAGTTCCAGGACAACTTGTCGTACCTTCCCTTGCAGTATCTGCCGAAAGCAGTATAAAAGCTTCAGGAGAAGTTTAAAAGTGGTTTTCCGAAATGGACTGGATGAGATTACCACGGGCACATATTTTTACGCTGCGGGGGGCTCGCATCGGAGACGAGGGCGTATGGCGATACCGTGCGGGGAACCGTGAAAGAAACAAGTTGAAGAATGGCGATGTTGCAGCCCGCCAAACGCAGGCGCACGAAATGCCCAGTAACACGACGCCTTTCCTTTTAAACTGGTGCAGTGGATCAAGCAAGGTATGCAAAAGAACGGCTTTTTGCCTGCGAGCATTGTCATGCTTCAAAGGTCTTGGCCTATATTGACGTAGGCTGCAGCCAGCATCAAGACGCCATGTTTGGCAGCTAGCTGTAATTGAGCCAACGTAGGTTTACCGTATGAAGCCTCACTATACTTTGGTGAGCGGAAACACACGCATCTTGACACACGTACATGCATTGCCGTGCCTGTTGCTAGCCCTCTTTTCTACATTCTTGTCAAGACTAAACTAGACATACACGTCGTAAAAAGTCAAGCATGTATTGTTATCTATCGTACTCGTGCAAGGAAGCACACATGAAGTCATTCTATCCAGCTACGACCGAATCAAGGATCTCTACCACCTCGCGCCACCCGGTATCAAGTTTCTTCGCCATGACATACACTCCCATGCAGTTTCATGAGTTTCTCACTTGACATCAAGGGATCTACGTGCGCTTCGACCACAACTGTATCGTTTCTCTTTCGTCACCAGTCAGTTCAGCTTCCTCCTGCCGAACTCTGATGTTCGGTGCTCCTACGCACCTGTCCGGTCACGAGAACTTGTACAACCTGGAGAGCTGGACGTAAAGGCGGCGCGTTTCTTTTTTTTTTGACGTGAGGTCGTTAGTTTTCAACCAGCTTGTAATCAGACGGTTCAGCAACTTTCCGTCGTCAGAATCCGGAGCAACTTTGCTCGTCGCAATCAGTTGTGCCAATTTAAAGTCACTGCCGCAGGCATCTGACAGCACATTCACCAGTATGTAGTCCTTCTTGAGTGCTTTGTTGAAGGCTTGAATGTGTCGTTCCATTACGTGCATCAGGTTGAGGTTATAGGGTCCAGAAAAATCCATGACCTTCCAGAGGTGCTTGACAACTTTCAAAGGCTCTTGCTCAAAGCTGGAAACTATCCGAAGTTTGGCCGCGTGACTTACACCCCAATGCTTCATCAAAGTTCTCGAACGAAGCTTAGTCTTTTTGTCCATCCCGCGCTTTTGGACCGTTGAGCTCCATTGTGCAACGTCCCAAAGCAGTGCTACCGCATAAGCTACTTTAGTCTTCCCGGACGCCTGCAGCAACATCTGTGTCTGTTTAAGGCGTTCAGGATGGATGAGCAGGTAGTGCTCTACGGTTCCCTGATCCACCGCTTCCGCTAGTGTTTTAGCATTGATCAGAAGCATCGACTTGACGTGTTCGTTTACTGTGCGCAAGATTGTGGTTGCAGCAGCATCTACCCAGGCGTAGGCCCCAGAATGAAATCCTAACTGAAGCGCCCGCTCTTCCGCGTCCGCGGAGGTGTTCACCGGACTGTTAACGACTCCGTGGCCTTCCTCGCTCGAAGTCTCAGTGATCGGAGGGTTGACAACCTCTTCCTTGGGGTCAAAGGAACTTGCGAAGCCTGAAATAGCAGCAGCAGCAGTAGCCAGAAGAATGATACTCTTTAAACGCATCCTAAGACACTGTCGATTGTTGAGTGGCGATTTCGGACATGACTGACTACATGGGCAGCAAAGACGCTGATCGACTACGTCCGAGAGCCAGTTTATCGGATGCACATCTGAGAAGATAGTACATTGTACCTCCCAGTCTTTTCGACCGCTGGCATTTTATTTAAGCATACGATTAGCGACAAGCGGGACCACATTGTGGCGATGCCTGTCTTGCAATTCGTACTCCCAAACTTCACAGTCTAATCTCAGCCAATCCTATTCTCATCTTCTCATGAAGCAGCCCCTTCGGCGAGATTCGTCTCCAGCGGGAGCCGAAGAGAAAGCACTATTGTCTTGAACTTTCTGCTGGCGCAGCGTGCAGCCATAGGTCGCACTTAATGTTGGCCACGGGGAGATATAATGGCTGGCGAATGTCCCCGCCCCCCGCGCTCGCTACGGCGACCACACTCCAAGTCGGTGAGCCGCAGAAGTAATAGACATTAAATCTCTCTCCCTCTTCTCTGATTTGTTGCTGTCTAGTTGTTCGTCTGTTTGAGCAAGGGCACAAGAAAAAGGCACCTCGAAGGCGAAAAAAGGCCAATCGGAAGTTTCTTTTATAATTTTATGGGCGAGACTATTCCGTATTTGAATTACATATTCCATACTACAAACACCGTCAAACGTTTTTGCGAGCAGCTAATTAGCTTAATGGCTAACTTTTATTTGTGTTATGCTATATATAGAAGCTCAGAGGTACGAAATTCAAGAGCTTCCATTGACGGGTTGAATCCTGCAAAGAGCAGGAACATGACGTTTGTGAGGACGCGTACAACGGCAACGACTTCGCCACTGGACAGCAAGTAGACAATCAGCTGATACAGGATCGTCTGCATGAGCTCTAGAGGGAGATGTTGAGCCAGTAGAGCACAGTCATGCTTGTTGTAATATGTTCTCAGCTTGAAGCCGTTGGAACGTCTAAAGTACGTTTACCGTGCGTCGGTTGAAATAAGGGATAAGGGAAACGACGGATATCAGAACGGGACGAGTCGACAGACAAAGTAACGGTTAGCAGGTTATCTGCAACCGCGTGCAGGAATAGCTCAGTCCAAAAAAAAGCAAAGTGTCAGGCAAGTCGTCTTTAGCCAGAAAGAGCTAAGCTAAGTAATCTATATCATAGTGCGTCCAGGTGTAAACATCTGGTGTTGTCAGGAATACAGAACTAGCTAAAATCTCAGCGCTGGATAGATTAAAACAGTGCTGAAAGACCAGATGCCGAGGTTAAGGAAGAAGACTGTAACGGGGTAGGCCGTTACATGAATTTGACACCAAACGGTGTCAATTGGAATATTGTCCAGCATGACAATATCCTACCAAAATTATCCGAGGTGGATAATCTTGAAGGAATACTACCCCTTTTGATTAAAAATCATGCGCTGCTCCAATATTGGTTGATGTAAGACATATCAAACATTAATTACCACCAATCGCTGCTAAACGCGCGCCATGAGTGGTGAGCAGGTTGTCGTCATACGACGGCGTAGTTTAATATAGTTGGATAAAGATTAAAGTTATATTGATAGCTAAACTATACTAAATACAGTTCTTTTTTTCCTTTACTTGAACGAGTCGTCGAAGTAATTTAGCCTTCTCTGCACGTACTAGTGTACGTGAAGTTTAGTGGCACTCAGACAAAGGGTGCTTCGGTCCAAAGACAGTGGCGAACAGGACACTTCTGCTGAAGACGTGGGGGATCTCGTAGAAAGTGATACCAAAAAGGTACGAGCGAGTGTCGTACATCTGCGCGTCGCACTCGCGGTAGTAAATGGCTCGTTCCCGCAGGTTGAAAGGCAGACAAGTGACGTACGCCACGTGTCTTAGTATGGTGTTGTCATGAAATTGATTTCCAGGGCTGAGCTCTGCCTTTGGTACGCTGTGTAGTTGGCTTTGACGAGCATGTGGCCGAAGATGATGGCCAGAATAAGCGCGAGCCAACACTAAAGTCAAATTTCACGACGATTCTTGGTAGTCCATCGACTACAATTGCTGCATGATCAATCAGAGTTGCGTCCAGGAAGTAGCAGCTTGTTTGTGCTGGAACACTAGCTTCGGTAGACTGTCGGGTGCAGGTGTCGTCACACCACGTTCAGCTATACGAGTCAGCAACGCTCAGTGCTATATAAAAAATTTGACATTGGTAATGTTCCCGTTAGAGATGTTAGCCCCGTCCGTAAGGCTCAGCGCTGAATTTAGTCTCGAAGAGAGTTTTCGATCTCCTCACCTCTGACCTTTTATGAATAGCATTTAACAAATAGGATCTAACTATTTAGCTAATGAGTTGTTCGTAAAAACGTTTGACGGTGCTTGCAGTACAAATAGCAAACTTAAAGTACGGACTAGCCTCGCACGTAATTTTCTGAGCAAATAGTCCCAGTATTACATTTGTCCAAATATTTCGAAACCAGTACTGTGCTCAACACAAACATAACCTGGATAAATTGTGCTGACCACATAACACCCAAATGCAACATAGGTCAAGAGACTTTGTGATTGCTGAGCTGGTCTTTCTAGACACTCAGACGAGACAGCGTACCGCGTACCAGTCGCGAGTGGGTCATCGTACCAACGATTTATTTTAGCCAATCAAAATGCACGCTTTTAATCTAATTTTTTTACTTATAATCTTGTTGTGATGATACCAATCAAATTTGAGATATCTACCCTTCCTCGATTATTTCGTCTTTGCTGTGATGGCGATTGTCGACAGGCCAAAAGCTTCAAATTGCACTTAAAGAAAGCATGGTGATGAAAAACATAAGTCGACAAAGTCTTACTGAAGAGACGCGGTAAATATCGTAAGATGCACACTGTAGCGGAATACTTATACTCCTTAACAGAGGAAGTCTTAAAATTAAAGAGTCTCTTAGTTATAACAAACTAACAAGAAAGTAACGTCGTTCAAGCGTTCAAGCTTAACAATCCCGATTCCAAAGGGATTACGATTCACAGAATCACACACTAACTAGTCACTACTAGTTGGACAAGAGTAAACGCATTCACAAGGCTCACATCACGCTATGCCTTGACTAGGCACTTGTTTCCAACGATTCAAAAAGGGGACTGAACTTTATTTTTTCTTTAACTACGGTAATTAAACCCTTAAACCTTGCCTGACTGGATTCTACATTGCGATTCTATAACAAAAGTCGTATCCCTTATCCCTGACCGATAAGGTGTGGTAGTACCGTAAGTCAATGGTACAAATAATGTACCACTTAGATCCACCGATCTTTACTTGGTGTTGACACACAACATATCCAGTTGAATAACCGTCGTGCACCCCGTTACACTTACTACAAAATATTTGCTGAACTCTTGCTCACTACTCTTTGCGCGCGTCCATCACTGATTGGGTCGCTAGATTCGACTGATATGACGACAAATACCAGCCAACTGGTGAGTTTCACTGAATAATACCCCTTATGTGATATTTTAACATTGTCGTCCTTCATGACAATAATCTGAGTAACACATATCGAGTGCTAATGAAATGTAGCTGTAACGGGGCACCCTTTTGCTTGGTTGCCACGAAACTTCACTTACACTCATACGCGGAGATGAGGTAAACCTACTTAAACTGCTAGCTAAACTAAAGTTAGAAATAGAGCTGTATCAACTCAATTAAGCTATAAATATATTTTCGGTCTTTATCAAACTATACTAATCTACATTGTCATGTGCGACGACCTGCTCACCACTAATTACGCGCGTCTAGCAGCGATTGGTGGTAATCTATGGTTGATATGTCTTTATCAACTAATCTTTAAGCAGCACGTGTAATAATTTTCCTGCGGGACCTTTCTTTAATATTGCCTATCTTCGGTAATTTGATAGAAAATTGTCACGCTATACAATCTCCTTTTTGTCATCGTCTGGTGTCAATGTCATGTGACGGGCTACCCCTTTACAGTAGCAGGATCACCCCGTCATACAAACACTTCACATCTGACGCGGCGTTACGTGATAGCAAGCTTGACTCAAACACGTCAAAACTACTTTAAGCCGACTGAATAGAAGATAGACGAGAGCGTAGTTGTTAGGTACATGAGTGGACTGTACAGCACGAATGTTGAGGAGAAGTATAAGGAAAATTAATGTAAAGCCGAAAGCGATGACTTGGCGAATCGAAAGCCTGACGCGATCGTAAAGACAGTAACTAGAGAAAAAAGTAGCAAGGTCCAAGGAAAGATATAAATGACCCGGACAAGGTAATAGAGAGTGGCGACTCAACTATTTCTGAGCTCGCGCGAACATGGCACGTAATTTCCCAGCTTTTAACGCTTAGTTTACCTGTGACAAGGTACATTGCCCCGAGTCTGTGGGTTCCTACCTTGTTAGCTCAATTTTAAATGAAAGGTCTGTTTTACTATTTTCGGCACCCTGAAATGCATGTCACCGGTAATACTTCTCTGCTAGATATGTCCTAAATGCTGATACTGTTTACAGCAGCTTGATAAGTTCTATATTATTGTATTGGGCTAGATTGCAACAATGGGCACGCTGTAACGGGGTAGCCCGTTACAAAAAATTGACACTAAACGGTGTCAATAGGATGTTGTCTAGCATGACAATATTCTACCAATATTATCCGAGATCGATATTATTGAAGGGATATTATCTTCCTTTGATAATATTTATGCGCCGCTCCAAGAATGGTTGATCCCACGAAGGTGACTTGCATCTCGTCACCCTCGATGTGACGGGCCCTGATGGCGTCGTCTAACTCCACGAACCATCTCAAAATGGAGGCTCCATCGTTTCCCTTGTACCTTGAGATGTCAATCTTCAATATTTCGGGTCGACGCTGGTGCGTCGGCCCACCCATCGACTGATGAGAGCCTTGCTGCTGTATCAAGGATATCCTCTATTTTTGACGGCAAGTTCCCCTTTTAGGAACTTATTGATAGCAGCATGTTGCTGATCTCTGCTTAGAGAACCAACATACCACTGATGGCGAATTCGCC